CTGTTTCCAAGCTCTGCTCAAGTCAAAACGTTCCTCAAAACAGTGGGGTTCCGCTTATCCAATTTTACACTTATCTCCTATAATGTAATGTGGATTCTAACGATTGACCAACCAGAACACATCTATGTGTCCCCTTCCTGTTGTTCTGATTCCGTGCTGGTTGTCTGCTTGGCTCGTCCAGCGCCTCTCTCCAGCACCACTTTCTGGCTGGTCAACTCTTCTAGTCCAGCGTCCCAGTGGTTCGTCGATTGACTTAACAAAACACCCCTGTGTGCCTTCTCTGTTCGGTCCCGTCGGTGCTTGACGTCCCCTTGTCGTGTCCAGCCTTTGTCGGGTTCCCTTCTTGTAAACCATTTTCCTACTTGGCTGGTCACCTTTTCCAGTCAAATCTCCAAGTGGTCCAGTTAAGTTGCAAGCTATCTGAAAACCCTTGACAATGCCCACACTCGGGCACCTTTTTAATTTGCTGAAATGATCGAAACGATTGGTCTGATAGAAACAGTATGGGTACTCTTTTTATTTAATATAAAGACTTGATCCAACTAATCTGGTGTCAAAGTTACTGTCATTTTTTATTTTATGGTTTTTGTTCCTTCTTCTATTCGTTTTCGGCTTTTGTTTCGCTTTGTGTTTTTTTTTGCTCGTTTTTTAGTCCCACTAGTTACCCCTCCTTACTCGGTTAGCTAGGCCTCGTTCGGAGAGCGTACCAGGAAGTTTTCTCGAATTTTTTTAAAAAGCTATCACGGTACTTTTTGGCACTGTCCCAAGACTTTTCTGTACTGTCCGAAGACTTCTTCTTGGTACTGTCCCAAGACTTTTCGGCACTGTCCCAAGACTTTTCGGCACGGTCTCAAGACTTTTTGGCGCTGTCCCAAGACTTTTCTGTACTGTCCCAAGTTTTCTTGGTGCTGTCCCCAGACTTTTCCGCACTGTCCCAGGACTTCCTGGTACTCTCCCAAGACTTTTCCGCATATCCCAAGACTTCTCGGTACTGTCCCAAGACTTCTTTGTACTGTCCCAAGATTTTTCGGCACTGTCCCAAGACTTCTTGGTACTGTCGCAAGACTTTTCTGTTTTGTCCCACGACTTCTTGGTACAATCCCAAGGCTTTTCTGTACTGTCCCACGACTTTTCGGCTGTCCCCAGACTTTTCCGCACTGTCCCAAGACTTCCTGGTACTCTCCCAAGACTTTTCCGCATATCCCAAGACTTCTCGGTACTGTCCCAAGACTTCTTTGTACTGTCCCAAGATTTTTCGGCACTGTCCCAAGACTTCTTGGTACTGTCCCAAGACTTTTCTGTACTGTCCCAAGGCTTCTTGGTGCTGTCCCAAGGCTTTTCAGTACTGCCCCAAGACTTTTCGGCACTGTCGTAAGACTTCTTGGTACTGTCCCAAGACTTCTCCGCACTGTCCCAAGACTTCTTGGTACTGTCTCAAGACTTATCGGCACTGTCCCAAGACTTCCTGGTACTGTCCAAGGATTTTTCGGCACTGTCCCAAGACTTATTGGTACTGTCCCAAGACTTTTTGGCACTGTCTCAAGACTTCTTGGTACTGTTCCAAGACTTTGCGGCACTGTCCCAAGATTTTCCCTTACTGTCCCAAGACTTCTTGGTACCGTCCCAAGACTTCTTCGGACTGTCCCAGGACTTCGTCACTTAAGTGTTGGGTTACTTCACACTGTCCCAATATCCCTTCTTTCTTAGTGTTGGGACAAACTGGTTTCTTCTTCTTCGTTGTTGGGACTCTTGAACCAATATCACTGGTACCACCACTTGAGCTCTAGTATAAAATTTCTCCATAACCCAACCTTACTGGCCAAAAGGAACAAATGCTAACCCCCCCTGTTTATCTCCCTTTATTAATCTGATGCAAGTTGAAATCCAACTTGTTCGCAGGTGTGTTGTGATCACCTGTTCGTTCAAAACCGATAAAATTAGTACCGAAAACGTGAAAACTCAAACGAGAAAAAATTATAAAAACAGAAAGTTGAACCCAGCTAAAATCAAAGGTGACCAATGTCGTCCTTTCGTAGAAAAAACTGTCTGGTAACTGATTGTCACGCGTTTTCCTCCCCCTACTAACAATCTTATGGGGTGTTTTCCTTCCGGATTTTAAAAACTGTCTATCTCGGTTCCCCTTACCCAATTCGACCAAGGTACCTACCTTAAATTTATCTTAAATTTGAATATCCTCTCTCTTTAATTCAAGCGTGTAAGATTATAATGCAACTAAATCGACGATATCGATTGTTAGTTACTTTAACGTGTCCCCCTTTTTTACAATTTGCAACCACAAACCTCTAACCTAAGCAGCCCCCCTTCTAAAATCCCTACTATTTAGCCCCCCTCTGAAGCCGAAAATTACCTTAAGCGCTGGGTGCTAAACCTCTCGAGAGAAAACCGTAGAACCTGTTTCCAAGCTCTGCTCAAGTCAAAACGTTCCTCAAAACAGTGGGGTTCCGCTTATCCAATTTTACACTTATCTCCTATAATGTAATGTGGATTCTAACGATTGACCAACCAGAACACATCTATGTGTCCCCTTCCTGTTGTTCTGATTCCGTGCTGGTTGTCTGCTTGGCTCGTCCAGCGCCTCTCTCCAGCACCACTTTCTGGCTGGTCAACTCTTCTAGTCCAGCGTCCCAGTGGTTCGTCGATTGACTTAACAAAACACCCCTGTGTGCCTTCTCTGTTCGGTCCCGTCGGTGCTTGACGTCCCCTTGTCGTGTCCAGCCTTTGTCGGGTTCCCTTCTTGTAAACCATTTTCCTACTTGGCTGGTCACCTTTTCCAGTCAAATCTCCAAGTGGTCCAGTTAAGTTGCAAGCTATCTGAAAACCCTTGACAATGCCCACACTCGGGCACCTTTTTAATTTGCTGAAATGATCGAAACGATTGGTCTGATAGAAACAGTATGGGTACTCTTTTTATTTAATATAAAGACTTGATCCAACTAATCTGGTGTCAAAGTTACTGTCATTTTTTATTTTATGGTTTTTGTTCCTTCTTCTATTCGTTTTCGGCTTTTGTTTCGCATTGTGTTTTTTTTTGCTCGTTTTTTAGTCCCACTAGTTACCCCTCCTTACTCGGTTAGCTAGGCCTCAATCGGAGAGCGTACCAGGAAGTTTTCTCGAATTTTTTTAAAAAGCTATCACGGTACGACCGGAAGGCTTACACCTTCCCGCTGAACCGTACCATCGGTGTCGGTACTCTAGAATGGGCATGTAGCCCGGAGCTGTGTCAAGTGGGTTCGACTCCCTAGTCATGATGCCGTAAAAACTTCCGGGAGCCCCATAAAAACACTGTAACAGTCACCTACTTGAGTCACATATGAGGTTAAATAAAAATAGGCCCTATAAATATTGGGTCAAGAGTCAGGGACACTATCTCTTGTGTTTTTCCACCTCGGATGGTCGGAGCCAATTCGGTTCACTTGCGACATGAGACTAAAACCCGCGTTACAGCTCAAAGGCCACTACCAAAATACCCCCCACTAAGAACGTCCCCATATTTAGGTCTAAAAATAACCAAAATACGCGAACGCCGTTGAAAACAGGGTCAAACAATCCGTTCAGTTACTTTTTATTAGACAGTGGAATTTTGATCCATTTCAGATTGATCAACCTAAAACTCTCCTTACCTCAACATAACGATTATAAAACACACTCAAGAAAACTAAATTGGGTACTCACATACCAGCACACTCGAGAATTGGAGTAAGTAAATTAACTAACGACTCTAGCATAAATGTAATAACTTATTTTGCTATTAATAAATTCTAACAAAGGAAATGAGTTTTCACTTGAGAACTAAAGTTTTTGGATGGACCATTGGGAGACTTCGATTGTCCACCTTTCCACCGAAGGTTCACTCTGGTCCACTTCGAATCAATATACTCTTCTTTCGTAATCGTTCTGTCTCCTGTTTCAGGATAGGACAGCTCTGCTCTCGTGTGATTTTTATATCTGGAAATTGCGAATAGCAATTTCCCGCTGCTTTTTTTGATATATTTCCCGCGATTGTAATTCGGTTGTTCTGATCTTGCATTTCTGAGATTTTGAGTTGTCGCGAGAAAGTTGAGCATGACAGGCTCGATGCGAATTTTTGAAAAATTCTATTCACCCCAAAATTACGTTCGTATTGCTCAAGGTCAAACTTCCAAATATGACCGACTGGCACATTCCCTTTGAATTACTTTACTGTTTTTGTTGGTGCGGGATTATTAGGCTCAAGTGCGGCTTGGTTTTGCTTTGTTTCAGTTTAAATTTTATTCATCGCTTGTAGTTCTTTTTAGGCCGTTTTCGATTTATTGCGTTTTTTGCCTATTTTCATTTGGTTGCTTGTTATTAAGAATATCACGTTTTTGACTTGTTCCGGAATGGCCGATATTTTTTGCAGAAATTGTTCTTTTTTCGGGTTGCATAAATTGTTCCAGGCTGTAGATCTGAGAGCTGGCCGCTATGATGAAGATATTTCAATTCTAACATGGTAAAATCAGAGAAAAGATTAAAAATTAATCGTAGAAATTTCACCACTAAAAATACTAAAATTACAACCATTTGTAGTGGAAATTGATTATGTACTGGCTCAACGCCTTGGGGGTTTTAAAGTTATACATCTTAAAAAATATGAGAATGCAGTAATTCCGGTACCTTATATGTTTGCAAGTTTGTCTGAAGGAAATAACGTTTCGGGTGTTTCATGTTTAGTCTGGTTCCCTAAAAAAACGTCAAATGAGGCCTCACGTCATATATATCAAATGGAAGCACTTTTATGTGTGATCCGATAGATATCGTAAAATAGCAAAAAGAGCTTCTTATTTGCCGAAAGAGCCGTTTGAGTTTCTTGGCCAGTGCATGTTTTTATTGATCGTTTTATCATTTTTTTTGAAATTTTGGATAGCAACCAACCAGCTATTCTTATTTCAGTTTGATCTGCAATGATTTTGACGGGCAGAATTTTCAACATTTATTCAACTTTGCATAATTAAAATTTTTCAGAAAATGGCTGCCTTTGCTAAAAATTGGGGTACCAGAATAGCTTCGCTGACTGTTAAGACAGGAAAATGGGGACAATATTACGGGCAAAAGCTGGCGATTGTTGCTCCAGGTAATGAAAAATTTTGTTTGCCATTCAATCATAACCATTCTTTTTTTTTCTGGTTGCTTAATGTGCAAAAGTTTAAACCACTCTGTTTAGAGAGAGCGAATACCTTCTGGTCTTATGCCAAAATTGAGTTGGCGCCTCCCTCGATTGCAGATTTCGCTGTTGCAAGGAAACAGATTAATGAAGGAGTCAACAGTTTTCTCTCTGGACAGGCGTTTCAAACCTCAACTAAAGTAATAAGCGACTACTTTGCTCATTGTTCCGACCATTGAAAATGGAGAGGAACTTTGTATTCGGGTGTGGTGTAGTTTTTTTTACCACAAACAATCATCGGGCTGGGTTTGAGTGATATATAATTTTAAAGCCTTTTCAGTCATGATTCGAAAAAGTTTATAATTTTGAATTTTTTGATTTTTCGTCTTGATTCGAGCGAATATATTAGCTTGCAGCAACAGCTTATTTTAAGGACTTAAAAGCTTACAATAGCTGAATTTGAGCCGTAACAACTTGGTTTTACTCGAGGAAAGTTATTTTTTTAGGCATTTTTAAGTTTTTTTTTGGAATCAAAAATTTCAAAAAAAAACAGAAATGTTCAATATTTTTTGATGATTTATTTTGTTTTTCTGTCATTTTTCTACAATTTTTTTCCAAGTTGCGTGTTTAACTAAAATTGTGTTTTATTATTTCACTGAATGGTGCTGCTTTTTGTCGCGTTCTCGCAAATATTTGCGAAGCAAAGCTTCGCTTTTGTGTAATGTTTGCGAAGCAAAGCTTCGCTTTCGTGTAATTGATGAAAATCTATTCAGTGATTTGTATTTGAAGATCAGATTCAATGTGTGGTAGTGTATGTTCTGGCTCATTCTATACTACAAAATCATAGAAAAAATTTTGAATATTTTTTTAGATGATTTTTTTTTGTTTCTCTGTTCGTTTTTTTTTTCCAATTTTCGTATTATACAAAAATTGTCGAAAATGCCAAAGGTCAATTTTTTTCGTTAAGATCGTTTTGTCACACCACGCAGAAAAACTACCCTAATTTAAAAAAAAATTTTGTTCATTTTTTTTCCAAGACGATCGTCGGAACATTCTGTGCTAATTGCACTGTAACCGGCTATCCTTGTTCTTTTATGACTGTTTTTTTTTAAAACTTGCTATCAGCTAAATGTATTATTACGAAACTTTTCTTTAGTCTAATCTAACTCGCAAATAAAAGCGTGTATTGAATGTTATCTTTTATTCGGATATTGTCACTGTAGCATTGGAAATTGCATAGCAGCTGTTCTGATTTACTTGTGGCTAGTTTTGCTGGCTAATAAGCTTCCGTGGCTGAGTGGTTAGTGTATGAGACTCTTATTCTCTATGTTGCAATTTAGAAACTCAGAGGTACGCGAACTTTTGCTAATTCGTGGCTTATTTCTATTTTTATTATTTTACTTTATAGTGCTGCTTATTGTCGTCTTCTCGCAAATGTTTGCGAAGCCAAGCTTCGCTTTTGTGTAATTAATGAAAGTCTATTCAATGGTTTGTATTAGTAGATCAGGTTCAATGTGTGGTTTTGTATGTTCTGGATCATTTTATACCAAAAATCGTTTTTTGATGCCTTTTTTGTTTTTCTGTTCATTTTTTCTCCATTTTTCGTGTTTTAATAAAATTGTCGAAAATGCCAAAAGTCAAATTTTTCGTTTAGATTATTTTGTCACACCACTCAGAAAAAAGTACCCTAATTTGAAAAAAAAATTGTAACTTCTTTTTCAAGACGGTCGTCGGAACATTCTGTGCTAATTGCACTGTAACCGGCTATCCTTGTTGTTTATGACTGTTTTTTATTAAACTTACTATCAGCTAAATGTATTATTACGAACTTTTTCTTTTGTCTAATCTAACGCGCAAATAAAAGCGTGTATTGAATGTAATCTTTTATTAGGAAATTGTCACTGTAGCATTGGAAATTGCATGGCAGCTGTTCTCTGATTTACTTGTGGCTAGTTTTGCTGGCTATTAAGCTTCCGTGGCTGAGTGGTTAGTGTATGAGACTCTTATTCTCTTTGTTGCAATTTAGAAACTCAGAGGTACGCGAATTTTTGCTAATTTGTGGCTTATTTCTACTTTTTTTTAAATTTACTTTATAGTGCTGCTTATTGTCGTGGTCTGGCAAATGTTTGCGAAGCAAAGCTTCGCTTTGTATAATTGATGAAATCATCGGGCTGGGTTTGAGTGATATATAATTTTAAAGCCTTTTCAGTCATGATTCGAAAATGTTTATAATTTTGAATTTTTTGATTTTTCGTCTTGATTCGAGCGAATATATTAGCTTGCAGCAACAGCTTATTTTAAGGACTTAAAAGCTTACAATAGCTGAATTTGAGCCGTAACAACTTGGTTTTACTCGAGGAAAGTTATTTTTTTAGGCATTTTTAAATTTTTTTTTGGAATCAAAAATTTCAAAAAAAAACGGAAAAATGTTCAATATTTTTTTGATGATTTATTTTGTTTTTCTGTCATTTTTCTAAAAAATTTTTTCCAAGTTGCGTGTTTAACTAAAATTGTGTTTTATTATTTCACTGAATGGTGCTGCTTTTTGTCGCGTTCTCGCAAATATTTGCGAAGCAAAGCTTCGATTTCGTGTAATTGATGAAAGTCTATTTAGTGGTTTGTATTTGAAGATCAGGTTCAATGTGTGGTTTTGTATGTTCTGGATCATTTTATACTAAAAATCGTTTTTTGATGCCTTTTTTGTTTTTCTGTTCATTTTTTTCTCCAATTTTCGTGTTTCACTAAAATTGTCAAAATGCCAAAAGTCAAATTTTTCGTTTAGATTATTTTGTCACACCACTCAGAAAAAAGTACCCTAATTTGAAAAAAAAATTGTAACTTCTTTTTCAAGACGGTCGTCGGAACATTCTGTGCTAATTGCACTGTAACCGGCTATCCTCGTTGTTGTTTATGACTGTTTTTATTAAACTTACTATCAGCTAAAGGTATTATTACGAACTTTTTCTTTTGTCTAATCTAACTCGCAAATAAAAGCGTGTATTGAATGTAATCTTTTATTAGGAAATTGTCACTGTAGCATTGGAAATTGCATAGCAGCTGTTCTCTGTTTTACTTGTGGCTAGTTTTGCTGGCTATTAAGCTTCCGTGGCTGAGTGGTTAGTGTATGAGACTCTTATTCTCTTTGTTGCAATTTAGAAACTCAGAGGTACGCGAATTTATGCTAATTTGTGGCTTATTTCTACTTTTTATTATTTTACTTTATAGTGCTGCTTATTGTCGTGTTCTCGCAAATGTTTGCAAGCAAGCTTCGCTTTATTTTAATTGATGAAAGTATATTCAATGGTTTGTGTTAGAAGATCAGATTCAGTGTGTGGTAGTGTATGTACTGGCCCTTTTCTACTACAAAAACAAATTTTTTTTTTGAATTTTTGATTATTTTTGTTTTTCTGGTCATTGTTCGACAATTTTTTATTCCAATTTGCGTATTTAACTCAAACTGTCGAAAATGCCGAAGGCCAATTTTTTCGCTAAGATCATTTCATCACACCGCGCAGAAAAATTTACCCTAATTTGTAAAGAAAGTTTTGTTTTAGTTTTTTCAAGACGATCGTCGGAACCTTCTGAGCTAATTGCACAGTAGACGGCTATCCTTGCTTTTGTTTATGACTGTTTTGTTACGCTTACGATCAGATTAGTGTATTATCTCGATAATGCTTTTTTGTCGAACCTAACTCGCAAATGAAAGCGTGCAGTGAAACTAATCACTTTTTTGGAAATTTTCACTGTAGCAATGGAAATTGCATTGCATCTGTTGTTTTAATTGTGGCTAGTTTTGCTGGCTAATAAGCTTCCGTGGCTGAGTAGTGGGTGTATGAGACTCTAAATCTCTGGCTTGCAGTTTGGAAACTCAGAGGTATCCAATTTTTCTTAGCTAATTCGAGGCTTGTTTTTATTTTTTGTTATTTTTTTTAATGGTGCTGCTTTTTGTCGGGTTCTCACAAATGTTTGGGAAGCAAAGCTTCGCTTTTGTGTAATTGATGAAATTCTATTCAATGGTTTGTATTTGAAGATCAGGTTCAATGTGTGGTACTGTATGTTCTGGCTCATTCTATAATACAAAATCATAGAAAAAGTTTTGAATATTTTTTTGCTGATTTTTTTTTGTTTTTCTGTTCATTTTTTTCTCCAATTTTCGTGCTTTACTAAAATTGTCGAAAATGCCAAAAGTCAAATTTTTTTTCGCTTAGATCATTTTGTCACACCACTCAGAAAAAAGTACCTTAATTTAAAAAAAAAAATTTGTCACTTTTTCAAGACGATCGTCGGAACATTGTGCTAATTACACTGTAACCGGCTATCCTTTTCTTGTTTATGACTGTTTTTTCTAAACTTGCGATCAGCTTAGTGTATTACTACGAACCTTTTTTTTGTCTTACCTGACTCGCAATTAAAAGCGTGCATTGCAAGTTATCACTTATTTCGAAATTGTTTTTGTAGCATTGGATTATTGGAAGTTGCATAGCATTTGTTCTCTGATTTACTTGTGGCTAGTTTTGCTGACTTATAAGCTTCCGTGCCTGAGGTTAGTGTGTGAGACTCTAAATCTCAAGAGTGCAGTTTGGAAACTCCGGTTCCCGAATTTTTGCTAATTCAAGGCTTATTTAGAATTTTTATTATTTTACTTTATAGTGAGGCTTTTTGTAGTGTTCTCGCAAATGTTTGCGAAGCAAAGCTTCGCTTTTGTGTAATTGATGAAAGTCTATTCAATGGTTTGTGTTAGTAGATCAGGTTCAATGTGTGGTAATGTGGCAAATTGTCGAAAATGCCAAAGGTCAAATTTTTCGTTAGGATAATTTTATCACACCACGCAAAAAAATTTACCGTAATTTGAAAAGTAAATTTTGTTGTATTTTTTTTCAAGCCAATGGACGGAACATTCTGTGCTAATTGCACACTAAACGGCTATCCTTGCTTTTGTTTATGACTGTTTTATTACACTTACGATCAGCTTAGTGTATTATCACGAAACTTCTTTTTTGTCTAACCGAACTCGCAAATATATAAAAGCGTGCATTGAAATTAATCACTCATTTGGAAATTGTCACAGTAGCATTGGAAATTGCATTGCATCTGATTTTTTACTTGTGGCTAGTTTGGCTGGCTAATAAGCTTCCGTGGCTGAGTAGTTAGTGTATGAGACTATAAATCTCTAGCTGGCAGTTTGGAAACAGAGGTATCTGAATTTTTGCTAATTCGAGGCTTATTTTTATTTTTTGTTGTTTTATTTAATGGTGCTGCTTTGTCGCGTTCTCGCTAATGTTTATTCAATGGTTTGTTTTTGACGATCAGTTCAAGTTCATTGTGTACTAGTGTATGTTCTGGCTAATTTCATACTTCAAAAATTATAGAAAAATGTTGAATATTTTTTGATTTCTTTTTGTTTTTCTGGTCATTTTTTTCTCGGCAAAGGTCGAAATTGTCGAAAACGGCAAAGGTCAAGTTTTTCGTTAAAATAATTTTAGCACACCGCGCAGAAAAAACTACCCTAGTTTGAAAAGTGAATTTTGTTGTAGTTCTTTTTCAAGTAGATGGTCGGAACATTCTGTGATAATGGCACTGTTACCGGCTATCCTGGCTTTAGTTGATGACTGTTTTTTTTACACTTGTGATCAGCTAAGTGTAATTTTACGAACCTTCATTTTTGTCTAACCTAACTCGCAAATAAAAGTGTGCATTGAAAGTAATCACTTATTTGGAAATTGTTACCAGCATTGGAAATTGCATAGCATCTGTTCTGATTTACTTGTGGCTAGTTTAAGTGGCTATTAAGTTTCCGTGGCTGAGTGGGTGATGATACTCCAAAATTTCTAGGTTGCAGTATTGATACTCTAAATCTCTAGGTTGCAGTTTGAAAACTCAGAGATACCCGATTTTATTATTTCACTGAATGGTGCTGCTTTTTGTCGCGTTCTCGCAAATATTTGCGAAACAAAGCTTCGCTTTTGTGTAATGTTTGCAAGCAAGCTTCGCTTTATTTTAATTGATGAAAGTATATTCAATGGTTTGTGTTAGAAGATCAAATTCAGTGTGTGGTAGTGTATGTACTGGCTCTTTTCTACTACAAAAACAAATTTGTTTTTGAATATTTGATTATTTTTGTTTTTCTGGTCATTGTTCGACAATTTTTTATTCCAATTTGCGTATTTAACTCAAACTGTCGAAAATGCCGAAGGCCAATTTTTTCGCTAAGATCATTTCATCACACCGCGCAGAAAAATTTACCCTAATTTGTAAAGAAAGTTTTGTTTTAGTTTTTTCAAGACGATCGTCGGAACATTCTGTGCTAATTGCACTGTAACCGGCTATCCTTGTTCTTGTTTATGACTGTTTTTATTTAACTTGCGATCAGCTTAGTGTATTACTACGAACCTTTTTTTGTCTAACCTAACTCGCAATTAAAAGCGTGCATTGCAAGTTATCACTTATTTCGAAATTGTTTTTGTAGCATTGGATTATTGGAAGTTGCATAGCATTTGTTCTCTGATTTACTTGTGGCTAGTTTTGCTGGCTAATAAGCTTCCGTGGCTGAGGTTAGTGTATGAGACTCTAAATCTCTAGAGTGCAGTTTGGAAACTCCGGTCCCCAAACTTTAGCTAATTCGAGGCTTATTTCGAATTTTTATTATTTTACTTTATAGTGCTGCTTTTTGTAGTGTTCTCGCAAATGTTTGCGATGCAAAGCTTCGCTTTTGTGTAATTGATGAAAGTGTTTTCAATGGTTCGTAATTGAAGATCAGATTCAATGTGTGGTGGTAGTTTGTGTTCTGGCTCATTTTATACTAAAAAGTCTGGATAGATGACTTCATAAATTATTGTTTGAATCAAGTGTTGTTGTTCTGAGTTATCAAGATCCGATTTTACTTTTTTTGTTTGACTTTTTTGTGTAATGTCACGTAACAACGTGATCGAATTCTAAATAACGAAAATGGATTTAATTATGAGATTTACCGGTGAAATATATAAAAAATCACTTTATGATCCAGTTTTCTCAAATTGGGTTAATTTTATCAAAAAAAAAGTAAGAGGGCTCTTTTCCAGTTCCCCCTTTTCAAAATACCGAGTTTTTTTGTTTGTTTTATGGCTATATGCGTGATGTTACGCTGTACAGTATGAAGAACAAATTTTTTCACAATTGTCGATTTGTTCACCACGCCAAGTTTCATTTCAATATGACAATGTTATATAAGCTTTTCAAAATTGATTTTGAAAGGGGGAAACTGGAAAAGAGCCAGTAAGAGTTTGAGGCCACCTTTTTTTGTATGAAATTCGAAAGTATTTTTTTTTAATTCACTTGCGTTTTTTTTACTTTTTTTCCAACTATCTGTTGGCTATGTTTAAAATTTTTTATGAGCAGAGAAATAAGTTCTAGGTTTTCTAAAAAAAATTCCGTTGACTCGTAGTATTCAACCCCACCTATGCCTTGAAACGTCAAGTTTAAATAAGTCCTTCTTAATTGGTTAAAAATCCTTCTTAAGTGCACCAAAATCAAAAACTATCAAGCAGGTGCCTTCAGCTTTAGCTGGGCCACTAGTCTGTTTTGACTCGGAGTGAATATAAACTTAATTGCAAATGCAATTAGTTGTTACAAATCAATCAATTAATAGTATTGCTCGTGCTCAAAAATCAATTAATTTAATTGCTATGTAATTTTGAGTGCTGGAAAACTCGAATAATTTTGATTAGGGACCACAAGTTTGAGGGATCAAAAAGTTTATTTAAAACCCGGAGCGTTTGCTCTAAATACACCCCCTGAGATTGTTTTTGTGGCGGGTTTTTTGAAAAAAAAAATTGAAAACTTTTACGCACAAACTTTGGTCCATATTTGATTTTCCGAGCTCTCCGAAAAACAGGCTAAAATGGCGTTTTGATCACTTCTTAAAAAATTTTGACCAAAAGTTTGATGCTGGCCATCCAAAAATGAATCTCGCTAAATTATACCAAAGGGGGGCTTTGGAAAGTTATTAGGTTTATCTTTCAGAACTCCCTACAAAATTGCGGTACATGTTACAGGAGCTAAACCGCTCTTATGTCGGTCCTTTTCCTCATTGATAAATTGTATGAACGGTTTGTAGTGTAACGTTTTATCTTCAATCTGTCGGTTGTTTCAGAGGGCTGTGCAGAACTTGTTGATTGCTGGCGAGATTGCGGTTATCTTTTTCACAGCAGAAGTGGTTGGCAGAAGAAGTTTGATTGGCTACAACCCCATGGGAGACAAACTGAGAGACATCAAGCCCCCTCCAGGCATGAGTGTGCCTCTTCCAGAAGTAGTACAGTACTTGGAATTGAGCACTATGTACGATCACGGACTGTACCATTTTGGACCAGGAAAGAATTACTAAACTGCACCACAAATTGTATTACTAGAAGACAATACTTGAAAGTGAACATGAAGAAGACTGTTGTTGATCTGTATGATGGAATAATGGCCACTAATTGACTGCATAGATAAATTTAAACTAATGAAAGACGCTTTTTCTGAACGTATATAAATCGAAAGAGAAAATATGAGTACTTAAGTCCTCAGTGGGGTTCGAACCCACGATCTCTTGCTCCGGAGGCAAGCGCCGTATCCACTTGGCCATGAGGACAGATTCGAGACCCCATTGCGTTGTTATATTGAGAGACATGCGTCTTTTCAGATACGTAAAAATGTGCGTATAGTGAATTTGACGCCAATGATACCATCATCAGTCTGCTCGAATTACTTGACGGTCTGTCTAGCATCTTGCATATCACCTTGATATTTATCAAGCAGCATATAAATGAAATTGATATACATGCTGAGAATAAAAATCAATTGTAAGTTAATATTTCTCTAGAAAGGAATCACTGTAACCCGAATGCATTTTACCTTCGCCTTCGTGTTACAATTCAATCGATTAACTCATCTTTTTTAACACCGTCGTTTTATTTATAACTTATACAACTCGAAATTTTAACTTTTGACTGGTACAACTATGATAGACCGGCGTCCCAAATTTATTCCAGTCCCATTTAACTATCAGACAGTTGGATCTACTGGATCTTGTTAACTATTCCCCCTATTTCGATTTTCAGAAATCCAACTTTGGCGGCCACATAGTTAACAGGTGGGTATTCAGGAGTACCAAAACGCGAAAACAGTCGCGTTTGTACCAAAATAAAAAATCAGTCTCATTTGTACCAAAATAAAAAATCAGTCTCATTTGTACCAAAATGAAAAATCGCATTTCCTGTTTATCGCATTTTCCTGTTAAGTGCAGTTGCTACGTATTTAAATTTAGCGCTAGGGTGGAGGATCTTAACTTGGTTTATTTGGGGGATGGGGGGAGGGAGAATTAACTCTTTGCAATTTACCCCACCCCCATCTTAGTTTTAATTTTCGTAGTCGGGGGGGGGGGGGGGGTTGAAAGATTCTTTATTTCGCGTTATCATATTTTGGTACAAACGCGACTGATTTCTTATTTTGGTACAAATGACCGTTGGTACAAATGGGACGTCACCAGTTAACAAGATCCGATCTACTTTAACAAACAATCTCATCCAGGAGTGCGTATTTAAACAGGGGAGGGTTCTCATGCTTGAAGGACCGAATGCTTGAAAAGTTTCAACCAATCAAAATCGCTAAGCGTCCCTATAGGCTAAATGCCTTTCTCACAAAATCGAAGTCAATATTAACAGAAAATGTTTTAAATCAGTGGAAAAAAATCAAAATATTACAAATTGCGGGCTACAACCGCAATACTATTCAGATAAACATCAAGATTTATGAGTTCAAGTTCATAAGAATTTTTCAGTCTTAAAAACTCATCTGCTTATTATCTAATTGGTCAGTATTAACACTAATTGCCTGGATTTACTTCCTTACTTGGAGACTTTCACGATTTACTTTGAGATTTTGAATACTCAATTCTGATTGGCTGAAAGAAAGCTAAAATAAATTTCAAGCATTCGTTCCTTCAAGCATGAGGGACGCCACCATTTAGACAACCGCATTTTCAGACACTGCATTAACCTATCAGAATCGAGACAAGGAAGAAATGAATTTCATATCTTACTTTGTCTCGATTCTGATTGGTTAATACAGTGTCTGAATACGCGGTTGTCTAAATACTGCTACGTAACCCTCCTCCTCTATGGTACCTACTAAAGAATCTCCACCCCTATAAATAAATACAGTAAAATAGCACTGAGCTTTTTATTGAGAAGTGTTTCCTGCATTCTGATTTGTCGAAAAATCGAACAATTTCATCTACTTAACAATCTCCCCCGTCGCCTTTTTTGGAAGGAGTTGAGATTGTTAAGTAGATCCAGTTCATAAATATTCAAGACTTTCGAGGGTCTTTTCTGTGGTGCGGCCCAAATTATCAAACTGTTATTCCCTTTGCAATAAGCAAGGGTATTGCAATCGGGTACTAGACTTTTTGGGTCTTATGCAGTTGGCAATGCTCGGGTCTTGTCGATTATACACCCCCCTAAATGAATAAATTTGGTTATTCAAATTTTGAGTTGTTATTGAAAGCGCGAAAGCGAGTGAAACTAAATACCACTCGCGTGCAATTAGCAGCAGCTCGATTAGGAAACCTAGTGAAAAATAAGACAACCTCATTGACAAAACCGTTGGATTGCTAGAAAAATGCGGAAAGTGTCAATTATCGGTCAGTCAATTTCATGACTTTTCCATGCTGATCACAAGTTCAGTGATTAAATTAGCATTTTCGAGGTCAAGTTTTTGCGTGCACATATCAGCGGATTTATCATGTAAAAATGTGCGTAATGTGAAAATACCCTGTTAGTAAAATTAAACTGACCCGCACTGACAAAAATGGGTTCGTATCGATTTATATTGAATTTAAATCGATCCAAATCTATTAACAATCTACATTTCAGGAACTGAAATGGATTTTATATCAATTCAAATCGATCTTTCTTGAAAATTTTGGAGCTCAATGAAATCATATAAAATCAACAATGTAAATCAGATATGGGCACAAACCTAAATAAAAAATCAAGAAAATGGTCAATTTCAGGTGCGGATTTGAAGGGGGGGGGGGGACGTTCCCTTCCTCAGGAATTCGATACCCTGTCGACACCAAGGGTCCACCTTTGTACTATTTTGAGAGAAGACCAAATATGTTTGCCATAGCCTAGTCAGTCCACATGCCAGTTTTTTTTTAACATTCCGATAATGTGAATAAATTTTTACTAGTATCTCATTTATACTATTTCAGCTTAGTCAAATTATGTTGCGTCGTTTTGAGGATAAAATATGTTTTTAAGCTTGTATGTTTCGTAACAATTTTAAAAACTTAAAGCTCAAAATTTTATATGAATTTTTTTGTTCATCGCATTTTCTTCTCTTACTCTTTTCTTACATCTTTCCTTCAATATTGAACTTTTATATCTTTCAGGTTTTTTCCCAATTGGACTAGGGGTAACGCCGTCGCGTCTTAAATTCTAGGTTTCGCATATCGGCCGGACCGTGATTTTTTCAGTTTGTATGCAATTGAAAAAAAAAATCGGCTAAAATTGAGTTGCCGGAGTTCCATTTGTCTACTCAATTTTGTCAGCTAAGTTTCCAGATCACGGATTTTCCTTGTACTGTAAGCAATTTTCATTGCTAGTTCAAGTAATGTTCATTCTAGTACCAGGAGTGACCTGAATTTTTTTATAAACCTTTTTTTTGGCTCAGCTGATGTCTGCTCAAAGATTTCATTTCTCGTTTTTCTTGTGCTCTAAGGAACTTTCTTTTTAGTTGCAAGTGCAATTGTTGCTCATTTTAGTTTCAGCTGGGACTTACAACAGTTTTTTATGCAATCATTTTTTTGCGGATCAATTTGTCTGCTGAAATATTGTCGACTTTGTTGCCTTGCCTCTGTGTAAGTTTTGCATCATGGTGGAGGGACCGAATTACGCAGGACTTTTAACCAATCGGAATTGCTTTCTTCGAGGTATTCGCAATTTCTTGGAAATTTAAATAATCAATTCTGATTGGCAGAAAGTAACTGAAAATAAATTTCCAACATTCGGTCGTCCCTCCAATGATTGGAGGGTAAAACTGTCTTCATGGAAAACTGGGCTCCTGCATCTGGATGCAAAGTTGAAAACTTCATCAAGTTGAGCAGAGACGAGCAAGAAATTAGCCAAGGACTCGCTGAACTGATGATCACAATGCTTAAATTGATCCCAAGCACGGCTGGTTTGGAACGGATTTTCTCAACAATGGGTTTTGTACACTCGGACTTACGTAATCGTCTTGGTTCTGAGAAGGTCACAAAACTTGCATTCTGTTTGCGTTCGCTGAAATCTCAAGACAATTGAATTTTTCGCGAATGAATTCTGTTTTTTGAGTAAATCACAGTTATTAACTGTTAAAAACGTTAATAACGTAAATAACGTTAGAAACTCGGGCGAGGGTGTAATAAACCCAACACTGCTCCAATCATGAGGAACGGCACCAAAAATTGGACTATAGATTATAAGGCTCGAGTTGGAGTTGGAAATTAATTTAAGCGAACGTTAATGTGGATTCTCTTTAAAACAGAAGCTCATTTAGCAATTTGGTAATTTGGGCCTTAAAACAGAAAAAAACCCTTCCTCTAAGCAATCTTGAAAAAGTCTTCCTTCTTAAAGGCGCAAGATTCCACCAACAATTTTAATTGGATGAAACGTTTGAATTTGTTTCCAAAAGTGAGAAAAACTTGTAAAAAGAATGTACTGTGCTGATTTAATTTAACTGGACAAAACGAACAAAATTTGAAAGTTCAAACCCCTTTTTCTCAAATCGAGTAAAAATAAAACCAAAAGTGAAGTGAACAAAAATGCTCAGAATTTTCTTCAGAATGAATATGGTGAGTTTTTTGAGGAAGTTCTAAACCCAAATTTTGTCTTTTTTAAAGTAATCAAGGATTGCGCTGGAAATTTTCGTTAATTGATGAGAAAAGTATATGAAACGAAGCCTCGTACGCTAAATTGTTAAATTGATATCTTCATTTAATTAAGTAAAAGTTAGAGAACTGTCATATTTTTCCTAAGGGACCTGGTTACTTATTACAAACCCGTATAGCGTAGTTGTACCATTAAGCGAGCTTAGCGCAGGTAAAAGTTATTCTTTTGTCTGCTTTCCAGCTCTTTTGCTATTCTTTTAATGAGCATTTTCAAATCAAACCTACTTGATTCTCAATCTATCCGGTTATCTATCTATCGGTGAAATTATTTCTATTTTGGTCTGAGAAAACTGACCTTTTGAATCCGACTCTCCGGTTAATATTAGAAGATCGAAAGTCACTGAATATATACGTGAGTTGCGTGCGGGGGTCTGCCAAATGCGGTTCAGTTCCTTTTCCAATTATTTGGGCTCTCGACTTTTGGTGGGAAAGCAGCATCATCTCATAAGTTAGTTTGAATCATTAATTTAATTTGCTATCTTTCATCTTATTCGCCCAAAATTTCACAACTCAAAAAGGGGGTGTTCAAGAGTGCTGGTGTTCAAGAATGCCGAAAGCGGATCAGTCGTACAACTTTGATAACAGACTAGATTTATACAAAACTATAAGCTTTATTAGAGATAATTGTAGGAAAATACATCAAATTAAGTAATAAACAGCATTAAAATGCAATTCCACAGAAGTTTTGAGAACCATTTTTTTGTGCATTTGTTGGAAATGCATACCTAATACAGTGTGATCAGTCAATGAGCAGAATTTTCTAAGAGCAGAAAGGGTCTAAGAGCAGAAAACTGTCAAGTTTTGAATTATACGGGCTGAGCGAAAAAGTATCGGAATTGTCAAAATTGCCCCGCCTCCATTATACAGAATTACTTTTTACACTTGCAAATTGTAGTATATTATTACGAAGATTTTTTTCCCAAGCTAAGTTGCAAATAAAAGTGCTCATTTGATGGCACTTATGGTATATTTCAATTTAATCATATTCAAGCTTATTTGAGCATTTTACCCCATGTTCTACGGCCTTCAAAACTTTCAGTTGGGGTGTTTTTGACTTAATTGTTTTTAAGAGTAGTGAACGTAGTCAAGACTTATATAGGTCTCGCTGATTTTTTTTCAGGAAAAGTCTCTAATAACAACAGATGTGCATTCATACGCATTGATGCATTTATGAATACACTTTTAAAGTTCAATTAAAATTCATCTGCTGAAGGTGACGTAAATAGCACTCTCCAAATACGAACGTGGAAATGGCGCGAAAAAACGTGATTGATTTCTAGTTTCGAAAGTGGAATTTAATTTTTAGATTTTCTGTGGAATAAAAAAGCGTTAAAAAAAATAAAAAAGCGCCAATCATAAGTTGTTCTAGAAATTCAAAGGGCATATATTTTCTTTGAAATTCGCAAGTTGAGTTTTTTTATGTTTAACTGCGTTCATTACTCTTTTCCAATCTTCGATTGGCTATGTTTAATTTTTTTGATTTTCAAATTTTGAAAGCACAAATCTGACATGAAAGTTTCAATCAAAAGAAAAAAGTTATGGGGATCTTCACTGTTTAAATGGCTATTCCCTAAATTCGGTAGAAGAAAAATTATGGCCTCAATCATACCCATTTTTTGACATTTTGATTAGTTCTCAATTTTTACTTGACTGCATGGATAAATTTAAACTAATGAAAGACGCTTTTTATGAACGTGTATAAATCGAAAGAGAAAATAGGAATGATTAAGTCTTCAGTGGGGTTCGAACCCACGATCTCTTGCTCCGGAGGCAAGCGCCGTATCCACTTGGCCATGAGGACAGTTTCGAGACCCCATTGCGTTGTTATATTGAGAGACATGCGTCTTTTCAGATACGTAAAAATGTGCGTATAGTGAATTTGACGCCAATATTACCATCATCAGTCTGCTCGAATTACTTGACGGTCTGTCTAGCATATTGCATATCATCTTGATATTTATCAAGCAGCATATAAATGAAATTGATATTCATGCTGAGAATAAAAATCAATTGTAAGTTAATATTTCTCTAGAAAGGAATCACTGTTTTTAAAGTAATCAAGAATTGCGCTGGAAATTTTCGTTAATTGATGAGAAAAGTATATGAAACGAAGCCTCGTACGCTAAATTGTTAAATTGATATCTTCATTTAATTAAGTAAAAGTTAGAGAACTGGCATATTTTTCCTAAGGGACCTGATTACTTATTACAAACCCGTATAGCGTAGTTGTACCATTAAGCGAGCTTAGCGCAGGTAAAAGTTATTCTTTTGTCTGCTTTCCAGCTCTTTTGCTATTCTTTTAATGAGCATTTTCAAATCAAACCTACTTGATTCTCAATCTATCCGGTTATCTATCTATCGGTGAAATTATTTCTATTTTGGTCTGAGAAAACTGACCTTTTGAATCCGACTCTCCGGTTAATATTAGAAGATCGAAAGTCACTGAATATATACGTGAGTTGCGTGCGGGGGTCTGCCAAATGCGGTTCAGTTACTTTTCCATTTATTTGGGCTCTCGACTTTTGGTGGGAAAGCAGAATCATCTCATAAGTTAGTTTGAATCATTAATTTAATTTGCTGTCTTTCATCTTATTCGCCCAAAATTTCACAACTCAAAAAGGGGGTGTTCAAGAGTGCTGGTGTTCAAGAATGCCGAAAGCGGATCAGTCGTACAACTTTGATAACAGACTAGATTTATACAAAATTATAAGCTTTATTAGAGATAATTGTAGGAAAATACATCAAATTAAGTAATAAACAGCATTAAAATGCAATTCCACAGAAGTTTTGAGAACCATTTTTTTGTGCATTTGTTGGAAATGCATACTTAATACAGTGTGATCAGTCAATGAGCAGAATTTTCTAAGAGCAGAAAGGGTCTAAGAGCAGAAAACTGTCAAGTTTTGAATTATACGGGCTGAGCGAAAAAGTATCGGAATTGTCAAAATTACCAATGAAATGAATCATTTATACACTAATTGAGTATTTTCATCCAATATTTTTTAATGATTCTTTTAAATATTATTGATTACATTAATCAGTTCTAGCAAAATTTAATTGTCTCTTTGATAACATCAACAAAGTTTGATAATAGTGGCAAAATGTAGAAGTCAAAATTTTTCTGTTTTTCTGCTTTTGGTCATTCTGCTTATTGCCCCGCCTCCATTATACAGAATTACTTTTTACACTTGCAAATTGTAGTATATTTTTACGAAGATTTTTTCCCCAAGCTAAGTTGCAAATAAAAGTGCTCATTTGATGGCACTTATGGTATATTTCAATTTAATCATATTCAAGCTTATTTGAGCATAGGCGCTTTTTAAAGTAATCAAGAATTGCGCTGGAAATTTTCGTTAATTGATGAGAAAAGTATACGAAACGAAGCCTCGTACGCTAAAATGTTAAAATAATATCTTCTTTTAATTAAGTAAAAGTTAGAGAATTGGCATATTTTTCCTAAGGGACCTGGTTACTTATTACAAACCCGTATAGCGTAGTTGTACCTTTAAGCGAGCTTCGCGCAGGTGAAAGTTATTCTTTTGTCTGCTTTCCAGCTCTTTTGCTATTCTTTGAATGAGCGTTTTCAAATCAAACCTACTTGATTCTCAATCTGACCGGTTATCTCTCTATCGGTGAAATTTTTTCTATTTTGGTCTGAGAAAACTGACCTTTTGAACCGACTCTCCGGTTAATATTAGAAGATCGAAAGTCACTGAATATATACGTGAGTTGCGTGCGGGGGTCTGCCAAATGCGGTTTAGTTCCTTTTTCAAATACTTGGGCTCTCGACTTTTAGTGGGAAAGCAGCATCATCTCATAAGTTAGTTTGAATCATTAATTTAATTTGCTATCTTTCATCTTATTCGCCCAAAATTTCACAACTCAAAAAGGGGGTGTTCAAGAGTGCTGGTGTTCAAGAATGCCGAAAGCGGATCAGTCGTACAACTTTGATAACAGACTAGATTTATACAAAATTATAAGCTTTATTAGAGATAATTGTAGGAAAATACATCAAATTAAGTAATAAACAGCATTAAAATGCAATTCCACAGAAGTTTTTGAGAACCATTTTTTTTTGTGCATTCGATGGAAATGCATACTTAATACAGTGTGATCAGTCAATGAGCAGAATTTTCTAAGAGCAGAAAGGATCTAAGAGCAGAAAACTGTCAATTTTTGGAATTATACGGGCTGAGCGAAAAATAATTTGCTTCCAAAAGTGAGAAAAGTTTGTAAAAAGAATGTACAGTGCTGATTCAAATTAACCGGACAACACGAACAAACTTTGAAAGTTCAAACCGCTTTTTCTCAAATCGAGTTAAAATAAAACCAAAAGTGAAGTGAACATGCTCAGAATTTTCACCAGAACCAATATGGTGAGTTTTTTAGGGAAATTCTAAACCAAAATTTTGTCTTTTTTACAGTAATGAAGAATTGCGCTTTTTAAAGTAATGAAGAATTGCGCTGGAAATTCTAATTAATTGATGAGAAAAGTATATGAGACGAAGCCTCGTACGCTAAATTGTTAAAATGATATCTTCTTTTAATTAAGAAAAAATTAGATAACTAGCATATTTTTCCTAAATGACCTGGTTACTTATTACAAACCCGTATAGCGTAGTTGTACCATTAAGTGAGCTTCGCGCAGGTAAAAGTTATTCTTTTGTCTGCTTTACAGCTTTTTTGCTATTCTTTTAATGAGCATTTTCAAACCAAACCTACTTGATTCTCAATCTGTCCGGTTATCTATCTATCGGTGAAATTATTTCTATTCTGGTCTGAGAAAACTGACCTTTTGAATCCGACTCTCCGGTTAATATTAGAAGATCGAAAGTCACTGAATATATATTTGAGTTGCATGCGTGTTTCTGCCAAATGCGGTTTAGTTCCTTTTCCAAATATTTGGGCTTTCGACTTTTGGTGGGAAAGCAGCGTCATCTCATAAGTTAGTTTGAATCATTAATTTAGTTTGCTATCTTTCATCTTATTCGCCCAAAATTTCACAACTCAAAAAAGGGGGTGTACAAGAGTGCTGATGTTCAAGAATGCTGAAAGCGGATCAGTCGTACAATTTTGATAACAGACTAGATTTAAACAAAATTATAAGCTTTATTAGAGATAATTGAAGGAAAATACCCTAAATTAAGTAATAAACAGCATTAAAATGCAATTCCACAGAAGTTTTGAACCATTTTTTTTGTGCATTTGTTGGAAGTGCATACTTAATGCAGTGTGATCAGTCAATGAGCAGAATGTTCTAAGAGCAGAAAGGGTCTAAGAGCAGAAAACTTTCAAATTTTGAATTATACGGGCTGAGCGAAAAAGTATCGGAATTGTCAAAATTACCAATGAAATGAAGATTTTATACACTAATTGAGTATTTTCATCCAATTTTTTTTAATGATTCTCTTAAATCTTATTGATTAAATTAATCAATTCTAGCAAAATTTTATTGTTTCTTTGATAACATCAACAAAATTTGATAATAGTGGCAAAATGTAGAAGTCAAAATTTTTCTGTTTTTCTGCCTTTGGTCATTTTGCTTATTGCGCCGCCTCCATTATAAAGACTTACTTTTTACACTTGCGAATCGTAGTATACTATTACGAAGATTTTTTTCCCGAGCTAAGTTGCAAATAAAAGTGCTCATTTGGTGGCACTTATGGTATATTTCAATTTAATCATATTCAAGCTTATTTGAGCATAAGCAATTTCATTGCATATGTTTCTCCTTTTTCTGAACAACATATGCTATGATTCTGAGGTTGATAGATTATCAAGCTAGCATGGTAAGCTAGCATGTTAATTGCCTGCGTAATCTGTTTCACCCTACTTGTTCGTAGAAAAGCCGATTTGGACTTCGGGAAAATCCATTTTTTGAAATGTTTACAGTTTTTTAGGTTTCATCATTTTTCTCAAAAAATACTTGCTAAATCTGATATTAAGAGTTAGTCTAAAAATTAGGGTGTTGAAATCTTCCCTGCATAAGGGGCTATACTCATGCTTTAATAGAGAAAAGTTTGTGGATTTAGGAAAAATGAAATTTTAATTTTTGATCATTACTTGGTTTCTTTTTCACTTGTTTCGAAAACTACCCAGCCAAATCTAAAAGAGAATTTACTTAAAAGAAATAGTAGTAGTTTTTTGCTTTAAATAAGCTGCTACTCTCCTACTTAAGCGCAGAAATCACTAGGGGTTTGCGTAAAGTCCATTTTTTTGCAGTTTTTAAGATAACGCATTTCCGTATTCCGGTGTTTTATCTTCTTTAAATCGATGGGGGTGATATTTTACGGTTGATCAGTTTGTTTCCTCATCTTTTTTTAAAACTCAAATCTTCTTGGCTCGTTGGCTGCTGTTTTCTGGCTTGTATCGTATGGCTCGACATATCATATGATTCGATCAAGAAGATCAGATAAATAATTTTTCTCCAAAGATTGTTTCTGAAATTGCATTTTGAATATCGGATCACTTGAGTTTAGCTCTGTACCATAAGTTAGTACCATAAAGACATGTCACAGCGGTTTGTACGTTTTTGTTTCAGCACAAATCTTGGCCAAAAAGTTAATAATAAATGCGCTTTTCAAAATAAGTCGATAACGCAGTTGTAATGTATGCTATTTTAGAGTCGAAATTGTTTCAGATCAACCTTACAATCCCCCTATTGAGTAATCCGTCGTAGAATGTCCCCCTATTCATGTATTAGTTTCTGAAATTGATTACGTGGAAAATATGCATTTCAAACAAGCGCTCAGAAAGTTTTAAATGAGAATGGCTTTCATATACAGTCACGTGACATAGAAGTCGCAACTTTTTGATTTAATCGAAAAAATGAACGAACAATTTCTTCACGATTTGTTCGTTTTCTCTGAAACTATTGAAGTTACAGATTTCAAAAAAAGGTAGATGCAATTATTTAAAGGGCTGAACTGGGCCAAAATTTGAGAAATCTTGTTTTGAAGGCGTAACTAATTTTAGAATTCTTCTTACTGTGGAATCAACCTCACAAACAATATAATGAGTTTGAATTTATGCGCTCAAATTAATTTTTTGGGAAGCTGATGAGCTGACTAACTCATTGTGCTGCCTAAAAAAGACAAATAACAAAATTCTTCTTTGCTCAAATTTTATTGGTTCATTAGCCGTTTTTTCTATTTCTGGTTTTTTCATGGTCACATCGAGCAGCAAGAATGATTTGATACTGACTTTGATACTCATTCTGGCGGTCTAGTAGAAGTTGTGTAAGTGCAGAAAAATTCAAATATGATCGGCTGATACGAAATTTGCATCTGTAAGTTAATAACAGGTGACAATTCGTAACAGGCGACAATTCGTAACAGGCGACAATTCGTAACAAGCAACAATTCGTAACAGTAGATTAAGCGGGTAGCACTGATTCACGCGCAATATTCCTCTCGTGCCGGATGTAAGCGCAGCGAAGCAAGCGTATTCTACTTGCTAATACCTTGTTGCGAGTTATCGCTTGTTACGAATTGTCGCCTGTTACGAATTTTCGCCTGTTACGAATTATCGCCCTACCGTAAGTTAAACTCAAATGTATGTAAAAACAGTGGGTTGTGAATGTAAAACATCAATTTTATCATTTTCTCAAAAAATGGCGGTTTTATACGATGTTTTTGAGCGACCTACTCGGACGAAATTTGTATAATAGTATTTTGAGACAATTTTAAATTTAGTCGTCGAAAGAATAGATGTTTTGAAATAGACGCAAAGGGGCTCCCTTTTGGAAATAAGGGGGTCGGATCCGTGAGGTAAGAGCGTCTGGCTAAATCCGTTACTGCTATAATTTATTTCTTATCAAACTAAGAAGCTAACTTTAACGCCTTTTTCTATCATCCTTTTTTTCTGTGAATTGAAATTAAGAAAACCAGCAAGAATAACCTTAATCAGAACAATCGGTAGTACGTGCGCATCAAGTGGGTATTCCTGTTAGTTTTAAAACTATATTAAGAGTTTATGTGAATGTTAAATTGTACCCAAAATTTATTTAGTTTCCAGATTTTATCTAGTACCATGAAACGAGTTGCCAAGAAACGTGAAAATGGCTGGCATTTTTCAGAGTTGAGGAGAGATTTGGCGATAAGCTGCTCCAGGCCAATGAGTGCTAACAAAATTAGTCACAATCTTGATGGTCCTGACCGAGGATCGAATTCAAAATATGAGTCACAGACAAGCGAGCAAACAGCGGGAACCGGAAAACGGCTTCTATCCATCGCTAAACCCGAGAGATTGCGCATGGGAGGTAACATCATTTAGTTTCAAGGCCTATTTGTCAATTAGTTCTGCATTTTTTAATTGCTTGCAAAATATGAGATAAAATTTATTGTTTTCAAATTTCCGATTACATTTTTCTCTATGCGAAGTGTGTCATGTAATTCTTTTGCAAACATCGTATTCTGTATAAAAAACGGTGACTAGATCGCTGGTTGTTATAGTGGCCCAGTTGCTTTAATGAACTCTGGGATTTTATTGGGCTCCGACGTATTAATTAAGCTCTCCATTTAGCGTGCTAACAAAAATTTTGAAACCTTACTTGATTTTTCAAGTTTTTAAGTTATTTAACTTCACTCTCGAATAGTCAGAAGGATCTATGGCCTATTTTGAGTTTTTTTTCTACGCAAGCCCTCAATTCCATGAATTTGTTGTTATTTTTAAGCCCTTTTAGTCAGTATTTGGATGAAATAAAAGAAGTGGCCCGCCGATCTCGTTTTGCTATTTTTTATTCGATTATTTGATCAATTTTATCTTAGTCTCGAATATTAATTTGAGTTTGCGCTCCTCACCCTAAAAAATGGTGGAAAACTTAAACCGTGTTATATATATTTTTGAAATGATTATTGATCGGAACATCCTGTGGAACTTGCATAGCTACTCGTGATTGTTGTCCTGTTTGGTTTTAGTGGCTATTGGCTTCCTGTCAGTATCAAGTGGAGTGACCCTTTCGGTGCCATATTTCATAGGCACTATTATAGACACTATCTACACCTTAGAGGACAAGACTGCCCTGCTGCACAATCTGCAGTCTGTGGCATCTATGCTGGTCGGTCTGTTTATCATAGGCGCTGCTGCTAATGGAGCCAGAATATATCTCATTCAATCAGCAGGCAAGTTTTTTAAGCGATATTACGAGTAAATTTGTTCACGAGTTTATGGGCTTCAGATTTTTTAAAGAGATTTGGAATTCGCAGTGCCTGACTGAGAATTGACATCAAGTTAAAGTTCTTACATGATATTAGACGATTGGGAATTTTTTCTTTTGTCTCGACCCATAATGGTGTGTGTCAGGTATTGCGATATTTTTTTAAGCTGAGCTTGACAAAAGTGAAGTGTTGTCAAAAAAAAGAGTGTTTGGATCATTGAAATTGATTTTCGAACTAAAGAAAGACAACGCTACGATGAGTTATTCCGCAAATTGAAATGCTGTCTTTTTTGGTTTTTCGCTCTAAATTTACGGCAAATTTAGGTTTTAATTTGCCTTGAACATGATTTGGTTGTATATTAAAACTAGGAGCACATGCTCTAAATTAGAGTAATTGATCTTGCAGGCCAGCGCATCATCCAAAGATTACGTAACGACGTCTTCTCAAGCCTCATCCGTGCAGACGTTTCGTTCTTTGACCATAGTAAAAGTGGTGAGCTGATGAACAGACTTTCCAGCGATACTCAAGTAGTCGGATCCTCACTCACATACAACATATCGGATGGACTCAGATCCACCCTACAGGTCCTCGGAGGAGTAACGCTGATGGTGAGTATGTAGCTGGCAATCGATGATCGAATTAAGTTCAAGTAAATCTATCGCAACGAAATTTTTTTTGACTACCGGGACTCAGAAATCTTGAAACGGCCGTGGCTGTCAATTGCGAAAAAAAATATTGAATATGAAATCTTGATGATTTCCGAATAAAATGCTCAACGATTGCGATTTCTCTCTTCCACGCCTATGCGGATACGTTTTTGTGCCTAGTTCGATTTAAAAGTTATGGATAATTTTTTTTTCATGAAGTAAAAACCTGTTAAAAGTAAGTAACATTGGTTGTCATATGGTTGTGGGAAATAGCCGTTGTGGAATTGGAGGTGGAATATATGTTTTTTTTTGTAATTCTGTCTTTTAATTAGACCGTCGGTGTCAGTAACAAACTGCGAAGTCCCGGAAAACTAGGACCACATAAAGAACAAATCAATTTTTTTCTGATTCCTTTTGGGAATCCTTTTATTTGGACTTTTTTTTCAGTTATGGCTCACCGTCATTGTGAAGTTTAATCATAAAACGTTTGATTCCGATGCTGTTATGATACGAGAACACGATTAATTTGTGATAAACTGATTAAATAGATTCAGAGATGGTAAATTGAACTAGTTCTTAAGTAGCAAAATGTGTACAATCAAAGTGGAAGATGTACAGAAGTCAACCGAAATTTTAATAAATATTGAAGACCCAGTTATTACGCTAGCGAGCAGCTAGTGTTTTAGTGTGTACCTTCTTTTTTTTCTAACCTAACTCGCAAATAAAAAAGTTCATTAAAAGTGTTCAATGATGTGCCTTTTTGCTATAATTACGATCTGTAGCATTGGAAATTTCGTAGCATCTGTTCTCGGCTTTGTTTGTGGCTAGTGTTTGGGACAGAGACTCATAACTTCTAGGTCTTAGGTTAGAGTCCCTGACGTCGCGGAATTTTTACTAATTTTAGGCTTATTTTAACTTTTCCTTCTTGTACTTTTTGAGTTCTAGAGCTGTTTTTGTCGTGTTTTGGCTAGTGTTCGCGAAGCGCAGCTTCACCTCTGTGTATATATTGCGATGATTTTCTCGAGGAAAAGTCTTGAAAGGCTCTAACTTTTTATAGACGTGCTTTCATTCAGTTTCATGACAAATTATCCCTCACCTTTTTATCCCACGCGAATGTATCCAACTCAAAAATAACCCGGCAGTTAGAATAGCCCAGGACAAATTAGCCATATGTTGGTATGGGGTATTTCGTATGGGGATACTTTTGTACGGGATACTTTTCCTGTCACCCTTTCATTCATATTGCTTTTGTGAATGCTTTCAAGTATATATGCACTATTTGAGTTCAGTTCAGTTTCATCGGCTTAAAAATAGTTAAGTTGCGCTCTTCAATTTTGAAACCCTAAAGGTTACGAAAAACGTGATCGACTTTGCTCCTCATTGGAATTTAAGTTTCAGATTTCCCAGCGAAATAAAAACTACTTTTGGATCCTGTTTTATCCAAACGTGTGATTTCACCAAAAAAGACATAAATTGTTAAATTTGAATTTTTAAAAGTGAAGTTAAAAACCATTGTAGAAATTTTTGTCTTAGCATTAACTTTACATGTTACTGCACCGTTTAAGGGTGATTGAATTTTTTCTATGAAAGTCGAAAATTGGAAAGTTGAAAAAAACTAGTCGATTTTTTGTTTTCCACTGTCGTGGCTAATGTGAAGTGTTTTATATTTTTCTTGATAGAGAAATGAACAGATTCTTATATTTTTTTATTTTTTTTTTCAAATTTTTGTCATTTCGAAGCAATGTTGAGGCAGTTAAGCAAAAGTATTAGCAGACTTCAATTTGGAATTTCTTGTAAACCGCAGCATGGCGTCGTCGTGCTCCTTTGTGCTGTTGAACTTTTTGAAATGATAAATTGACTAATGTCTTTTGTTTTTGCGGGCCACTGATAGTCCAACCCAGCGGATTTTCTTACCACTTAGGGAGTGCCTGTAGGAACCTTCCTACAATCGCGTTCAGCAGTGTTATAAAACCTATCCACATCGAGCAATTTCTTCACTCATCCAAGCCGAGCAAATTATTCTCGCCGAGCGAGTTGTCAAGCAGATCAGGGTAATTGATATACTGGAGACGTTTGTAGAGGGAACAAATTCTTTTGAAGTTGGATGCGCCAGTTTTGTCAAAAATCAGAGATTCAATTAAGTACCGTTGTTGTACTAGGGATTAGGACACCTTGCCTTTACCAAGAGCGCCTTGTCTTTGTTAAGTTGTTTTAATTGATTTATTTCGCGTTCACCGTAGTCGTGGAATACGGTGTTGCAGTGTACCTTTGAGCCATTGCTTAATGAATTGTTGTTGATCACCATCATCATCATACTTTTTTTATTTAGACACTTCTTCTTATTCTCAGAGGTATTAGTTGATATATCTTCAAACTTCTTTTGTGAGTAGTTTCGCCGGCTGTTTTGGTATTTTGTGGGGTTGCGTTTTTTCGATTGTTCTTATTTAAGTTTTCTTATATTGCACTTTATCGTATATTCATCACCATAAAAGGCTCGAGCCAGTTAAAAACATCAGAGCTCTGTTGCTCATCAGCAAGTCGACCCTCGAATGGTTATATGAAGCTACATTAGCAGAGGAGAGGAAAACAGATCTTTGCTCAATTCATGTAGCTTTTCAGGTTTTGGGTAAAAACCATCTGAAGACAAAAAACTCTCTCCAACTTAGTTTCATGTCAAGCAATTTCAAGCCCTTCTACAATTTTTGGTACAGTTTTTTTCAGAGCTTTCACTTCTTATTTTTTTCCAAACCCTCCAATTGTTTTCATGATTTTTGCCTAGAAATTTTCATTCTTTTATAATGTTACCAGTCTCTTCATTTTTTCTATTTCATTAAAATTCCCATCAGAGCCGTCCCGTTCGACCAAATCATTTGTTCCTCCCATGATTGCAATTTTTTCAATGTTTTTGTTTTTCAAATCATTCAGTACATTCTGACTGGCTAATGCATTACGGCCAGCTCCGGGACCCGACACCACAATTGTATCTTACAAATAACAGCCGCTTAGAATTGAATTATTTGACAGCTTGCATAAAAGACGATTTTAACTCAGTGATTATTGATGTTCTATATGGATTGAAATTTTCTCTTCTAATACAATTTTTTGTTCGCAGCTTCTTATTGATTGCATCTTTCCTTGAAGGCATGGTATTAATATCTGAAATTATTATTTCCATCGTTTCCTTGTCATATTTTCAAATATCTTCAATCTTTAAACTTTTGCAAAGTTCTTTCTGCAAGGAGTAGTAGAATTTAACCCTTTTATGGGTACAATACTACAACTCAATGCAGAAACACATAAAATGTCGTTCAGTTTGATCCTCATGTTAAATTCCAATGGGGTAGATAGCAACTGTTATTTTATTTGAGATCGAAAACGTTTCCTAAACAGGTAAGTTTTCAAATTCATTTAAAAAAATTGTGTAATAACTTTCCAGTCGCAAGTAAAAGCGGTAAACGATTCCAACAGCTTGGTCCGTAGAGTTCAAAAGATTGACGCCCAGTTTTTTTATTTCATGAGTCTTGTTTCTAAGCGCATTTCAAGCTGTCTTCGCGCCTGATGGACTGGTTGGTTTATCAGGGATTGCATGAAATTTGGCTCCAGATGTGGAGTGTATATTAATTTATGAGCTACCATTAGGATTTGTAATCTATTCTAGATGTGACTGGTAGCCAGTGAAGATCGTTTTATTGTTGTTCACGTGCTCGATTTGAACTACATTGCCGCGAGTTGATTTGTTTCCTTTTTAATTGGGCTGGATGTTGGTAAATTTTTGATTGCAGTTGAAACAGCTTTCTGTCATTATATAGAGTCTGTAAATTTAGTATTCGGTTCTTTGAAATTTTTCAGTAGTTGGAAAGTAGTTTGAACTTTTTGAGACTGTAGGTTTTGCTAGTGTTTCGATTTTGTTGATCGCCGAGCAAGTTATTGCGTTGTGGTTTTTGTGATGTCGGCGAGCAGTTTTTGTGTTAGTCGTTGTTTTAGCTAGTTTGGTCTTCCTGCGTAGTGTTAAGTTCCAAATAGTAGCAGCGGTAGATCTTTGTGAAGGCGAATAGTTGTACCATATTGAAGTGCGTAGTTTGAATATATTCCGATCGGTAGTAGCTGCCGTTGTTGTGATAACGCGGTAATTGAAAATTGTGAAGTTCGGGCGGCTCATAGTGGGAGTGGAAATCTGAAGCGTTGAGAAGTATATAATTCGAATGTGTTGAAGCCGACAGTGGAAGCGGAGGTTGCGAAGTCGGCAGCCGTAGTTGTGACGCTGTTCGACATGTGGTCAGCAGTTATCGCGCTCCTATCTGGAACATTAGTTGCCGCAAAATTGCGGAGGGGATTAAAGTTCTTTCATTTCGTGTGGGTTTTTGGTTGATGATCGGCTCCTTCCTGGGGCCCTCGATTCACTATGGGTTCTGGTTGATTATCGGCTCCTTGTGGGACCTTCCGGTCACTGTGGTTTCTGATTGTTGGTGGTCTCCTAGTTGGGACACTTGATTGACTGTAAGTTCTGGGTGTTGGACTTGTTGATTCTGGTTGTTGATGATCTCCTAGTTGGGACACTTGATTGACTGTAAGTTCTGGTTGTTTGACCTTAACTCATTGTTGGATCTGTGTGTTGGGCTCCTAGTTGGGAACCTTGATGAACGGGTTAAGGGGCTCCTAGTTGCGACCGTTGATCATCGGTTGATAGGCTCGTATTTTAGACCTTCCACAATCTAGTTGATGAGCTACTATGTTTGTTCATGGGAACCTTGATTTGATTCACCGTATATTGATCATCAACAGCAGTTTTTGCTTTTTATTCTTTCAATGTCGAATCGATTATTCAATATGGTAATCTTGTGTATGGTTTTAGAAGATATACTTGTGTTATGTATTTCTATTTTATTGAAAAAAAAATATTAATTTTTGTTTTAAAAAAATATATTAAAACCGGTCACTTCAACTTCCATAACATTAGTTTGGTCCTCTTATGCCAAATTTGATCTCAATAAGCTTTTTTCGTATTTCTTAGTGCTACACTTCTCCTCGACTGACTCTGGCAGTGATGTCCATTCTTCCTCCTGTGGTGCTGACATCGATGTTGTTTGGACGCTATCTGAAGAAAATCAGTCGAAACGTACAGGACTCCCTTGCCAACTCATCACAGGTTAGTTCCCATGTTCACTCGCTAGAATGTCATGAAATTTTGTTCAGGAATACATCTCGCAATATATGCACTTCTTCACAAATGTCTTGCGAAATTTTTTCCAAGTACGCTAGGTAACCCTCCAAAGTTACTTTCAGTTCGCAGAGGAGAGACTGTCGAACATGCGTTTGGTGAAGGCGTTTGCGCGAGAGGAGAGTGAGATGAGAATGTATGCTGAGAAAGTGGAGACTGTCTACACTATTGCCAAGAAAGAAGTCCTCGGCCACTCCTTCTTTTACATGATGGTACCATTCAAAGCAAAATCATTTCATTTCCATTTGCACTGCTCTCAATCAGAGAAATTACCAATATACATAAGAAAAATTCAAATTACAAGCAGAGCTAGTATGTTCAAACATGAGCGTTTAAAACAGCTAGGAATGAACTTCTGTTGAGTTCTATAAGACTAACTTGAGAACACATTGGTCACAAAACTGACATTACTTCTGAGGTTTTCTCTTTTATTGGTAGTGATGATATTTTTGTTTTTTCAGGAAAAAGTTTTGAATTTTTTCGATTTCTTATTTTGAAGGGGGTTTTTTAATTTTCAGATTTTCCAGCGGAATAAAATTTCCTTGTTGATCCAGTTTTCTCAAATTCGGCAAATTTCTAAATAAGTGTCAATCATAAAATGATTGACTCTATTCCAACTTTCTGTTGGCTAAATTAAGATGTTTTAGTTTTTTTTTAAATTCAATGATTTGTTTTAATCAGTTTTTGAAGAGTTCCTGATTTACAAAGTAGTAATTAAAACTACCCAAGCTCATGAGAAAATTTTCTGTTTCAGTCGAAAGAAAACTGAATTTCCTTGATCACAAAGCTACGAGGGACAAGAACTTAGACGTAAAGCAAATAAGACGCGCTTAGTAAGATGGAATTCAAACGTTAATTTGTTTTGCAAAACCAGCATTTTGGACGAAAAGCAAAGGTCTAACAAAACTTATTGCTTAAAGCAAAATTTCAAAATTGACTATATTTCAGCAAGTATATTTTGTAATTGGGTACTAGCCGTTTTTCCCGGTAAGAAATTTTTCTCAGGCTTGGCGCTGGACTCCCAATAGACCCGACATCTTTTGAGCATATTTGCATTTTAAATCGTTATTGGTTGTGTAATAACCAACTCCAATTTTTTCTTTTTATTTTGTTTTCGTTCTAAGGTGTATTCGGCTTAGTAGCCTCATGTTACGTGCTGTTGAGCGAAAAAAAATTCATGCTGAGGAGGACTTTCAAATGTTTTTTTTGCTCAGGTTTTTCGAACAATTTTTTTTCCGGCTCATTGGTTGTCTACCCAAGTATTATTGACTTAGTAACCGCTTTTCAAATGTTGTTCAAATGCTAGCTTGAGGTTAGCGGTTGTCGATCTCGACTTATTTTTTTCTTAAATGAATATTGAGAAATTTTTGCTAGATGTTTTTTTTTTCATTTTTTTGTCCTCTTTTTGACCCATTTTTTTTAACTACCTCGATATGCTATCTTTAAGATGTATCGGAAGTGGAATTATTTTTTTGAAGTTTGATTTCCATGTTTTCACTTTTATAAGAGATTATGTTACTACAGAAGTTTCTTAATGCTTTCGTTTGACCATGTTTTGTTTGCGCTCTACTCAGAATGGGTTCGCGGGCAACTTGATGATCCTGAGTGTGTTCTACTACGGGGGCATGATGGTGCATGACTCATCTCTCTCTGTTGGGGGACTCTCATCGTTCATCCTCTACTCCACTTACGTTGGAATGTCCATTGGAGGTTATTAACTGACGACTAAGTTTTTCCAAATGTATTTATTTTATGATAAGCTTCATTTCTTCTTTGTAGATCAGTGATTTCGTTTGCGGTCCCCGTCGAGCCTTTTTCGTGATTCATTTGCAATACAAGTTCGTGGAAAAAATGTATGACATGGGAAATTCATTGGTTCCATTATTTTTTCATCCGATATAAGTTTATATCTTAGATTTTAGTGAGGGACGTCTGAAATTGATCTATTCGGTAAAAGTTGGAAGTTTCTGTTTTCCAGCAAGCAATTCTGTCTGAAATTTTTAATTTTCGCAGATGACCTTGAAAAGTTTTAATGCTGATGCTTTCAGCCTAATTTATAGTATGAAAGCATTGTTAGTGGCAGAGGAATCGAGTTGCCGAAGCTGTCACGAAAGGAGCTGACGGATGGGTTTGATCTATCTGTTTGCATTGATTTTAGGTCTGAGTAACTTCTACGCAGAACTAATGAAAGCTATTGGGGCTTCCACAAGAATATGGGAGATTATAGACAACGAGCCCCTCATTCCTACAGGTACTTAACACAGATATGTTCCGAAGGAGTACTGATAACTTTTCATTTTCACTGTAGGCTCAATTTATCATTACTTATTTGTGTCCATAGAAGATGACCCTGCCCTAGCGAGGGCGGAGGATATCCAGGGTCAAATATCATTCCACAACGTCTCCTTCCAGTATCCATCCAGGCCTGAAGTTTCTGTGCTAGAGAAGTTTAATCTAGAAGTTGCTCCTGGAAAAGTGACAGCCTTAGTGGGAAAGTCTGGCTGTGGTAAATCGACTGTTGCAAGTCTTCTCATGAGACTGTACGACCCAAATGAAGGTTACAGTTAAATTAGTTTTATTTCAGACTAATGGATGGTTTGCAGTTGATTACTCTCAGTAGATGAACAAAGTCATTAATACGGTTTCTTGCTCATTCTTTGCGCATTCAAATACAATATTGTCATGTTTAAAGGATATGAACGTAGTGAAGACTCTTATATAGGTCTGGCTTGTTTTTTTTGGCTTTTTTTAAAAGAAAAAAGTCGTAAATTTGTACACGCAAAAAGTAAAGGTCACAAAAACGTGATCGTTTTATAGTTTTGAAGATGGGGTTTAATGTTCTGATTTCACAACGGAATTTAAAATTTACCTATCGATCCAGTTTTCTCAAATTAGGTTAGTTTTATCAATAAAGCACCATCCATAAACTGTTCTTGAAATTCAAAGAGCTCGAAGGGCGTATATTTTTCCTAAGTTGACGTTTTTACAATACTAGTCGAAGAATTTTTGTTTTCAAACCTCATAAACTATATCCGCCTTAGTAAAATATTTTCCCTTCTGTTATGCTAGAAATGTGATTATTCAGGTCTCAGAGTTCAAGTAGTTATTGCGCAGCACTTGCAAATCTGTATGTAGGCGTGTTGCCACGAGTTTTTTTTTGTTACTTTGAAAAGCATTTTTAAATCAGACACGGTAGAAGGTTTTTAAGCGTAAATGAACAAAGTCATGACAATTTTTTCACAACGGTTCGTGGTGTGATACTACAAAGGTACTTTTTTCAACTTAAGTTGCAACCTAGAGTGCTATTTCTGCAATACGAGGCTGAATGGGCTATTTAATAGTATGCTTTTTGACATTTGATTATGAATAAGTTAACACGGTTGATGCATTTTAATTGCATCAAAGAACCAAAGAAAGCTATTTTTGCATAAAACAGTAGCCTCAAAATTTCTTTTTTATGATTAATAAACATAATGAGTATTCTTATGTAGGTCTTGGTGATTTTTCGTTTGTTTTCAGCAAAAAGGCTGAAAGTTTGTTCACGCTTAATTTAGATTGTTCGCGGTTTGATTTTTGATATATTTTCAAGTTCACTTCGTTCGTTAAAAGGAAGACAAATTCCACTATGGAATAGAAAAAACGTTCAGGTAACGAAAAAAGTGGTTTACGGAAATGGAATTTAATTATCAGATTTTCCAGAGAAAAAAAAGTTTTACCTACTGATCCAGTTTTTTCAAAATGGGTTTTTTAATCAAAAAAGCACCAATCATAAATTGCTCTTTAATTTCAAAGAGCTTTAAGGCATACATATATACTTTTAGGTATGAAATTTGAAGTTTTTTTTTCAAAAAAAACAGCCAGTTTTGTTCGTTTCCTTGCGTTCATTGCTCTTTTCCAACTGTCAGTTGGCTATGTTCAAAAATCCAGTATATTTATCGAAGTTTTTCAAATGCAAAATTTTAACCAAAATTCGGCATTATTTTTCTTCAATTCAATTCAAGCAAAGTTAATGTAGCATTCCTTTTCTTACAATAATTTCGAAGTTATTCGATGGTACTTCAAATGATGCTCGTTATTTCTGGCGATGATTAATAACGCATCAGTGGTTAATAACGCAGTTTTTTGAATCTGTGCTTCCGTTGGTTTTTGTTTGCTCGAGTAGGGTTAGTTTCATCAAACAAATTTAATTCAAGATGAAGTAATTCGTTCTAAAAACTGAATTTTAAAACTTCTAAAAAGTTATAATTCTTTAAGATTATTCCATTTGTCTGTTAAAGCTTTTCTTTGGTTAGTTTGTTTTGAGCTCCGCCCCAGCCCTTGTTGTTGTTAATTTCGTAAACGAAGCGCATCAAATGAGCTATTAGCGATTCTCAGAAACTTGGCAACTTCACAGGTGTATTGGGGGAGGGGGTAATTTCGGTGCGTTATTTTGTGGCACTTTAAAAGACGAAGGGTAGTATGAGGATCAGGGCAGTGGTGACAATTCGGGGCATTGGGGTCAATTCTTTTGAGGTTTCTATTTAAAAACGGGCTGTAGCCAGAGCTTAGCTGCCCCAATGTTCTCCTAGTTGATCGGGGGAGCAGTTCCTCGGTCGAGGAAATCTCAGGCGGGCGCAGTGGAAGCCTTTTGAGTCCGGGGCAACTTGTATTGCCTTATTTAAGTCTTTCGTGTGAATGGTTTTTAAAAATAATTTAAAGTTGTTGAAACTGAGTAAATTGTATCGTAGTGATCAATAAAAGTGTTACTCTTTTCTCTCGGAATAATATCGTCGGGTTTGTCTGTAAAAGCTGTTTAAGAACTTGTTCGATTAGTCTGAGAAAAAGGGCGCGTATAGAGAAACTGCAAGGGGTGAGAATCGAAGTATGATTTCAAGTAAATTTGGGAGGATGATAGATTATGATGTTGTGGCTTTATTTGTAGTTTGCATTCAATATGAAGGTGGTCGATGAAGATCATCTTCGTGCACACTGTAACGAAACTGAGAGATGCTTTTTAGATGACTGTAAGTTTGTTCTGGTAGAACTTGCTTGTGGCGTGGGATCGAAGGAGCACGAGTAGTCAAGAACTGCTCTAATTAAAGCCTTGTACGTCTGAAGCAGTGTTTCCGTTGGTTGATTTTAGTTAATACTGGATTGAGGAGGCCGGCTTGCTTAGAGTGTTCCGCAATGTTGAGAAAAGAAGCAACAATACGCTATCAAATAAGTATTTCTTTTTGCGACCGGTAAAACCAAGGAATCCATTGACACCGTTGGTTTTGATTTAATTTCGTAATTGTGGGACCTGAATAGGATCATTAGACCTCTTAGGCTCAGTGTCTATTCGTGAAAAGCTTGTGCAGCTACTAAATAGTTCGTTAAAACGGTAGTCGCCTCTACAACATTATTAGTTTGAACAAAACAGTGAAAATCATCAGCATAAGGTTTAAGTTTTTCTTCCGGAGGCCTGAAAGAAAAATCTTAACTAGTAGGAAATAAAATGGAATTACCAGCAACCCCCGTTTTGACAATTCTAATTATCGATAATTGGTTTCCAAAAAGGGTTTTTGCTTGGCGCCGACTAAGGCAAATTGAAAGCTATCTGACCATGCCTCCGGCTACTGTGGAGGCCTGGAGAAGCTTCAAAAGCGTACGATGGCTTACCATGTGGAAGGCCTTGGACAAGTCAGAGTGGCTAGTTTTGTCCGCTCCGCTATTGCTGTTGAGTTCTAAGGCCTGGAATCATGTTGGTGACTAGCTTTTGGTAACTAGTTGGCAAATATGTGTTAGATCAAGGCCCTTATGAGTTTAATGGCTGGTCTAAGAATTGACACCAAACGATTGGACCTCCTGCACTTTTCTGTGTCCTTGTTATTTTGATGAGAAAAATGGAAGTTAAATATACATCCAACTAATCATAGTTGCTCTTTCTAAGATGTTTGCACACCGCTCTTAAATAGAAAAACTTGATTTCGATTTTGCACTAATGCTATTTTGTAATAAAAAAGAGTAATTTGAGAGGTAATGGCTGTTTCTAATGTAATCCTTACTGTGAAAAACGGAGCTTACAATCTTGCATTTTTAGGATCAGTAATCGTGGACGGTTTGCCGTTGCAACAGTACTCTTTGAAAGATTTCCGATCGCGAATTTCTTTCGTCAGCCAGGTAAGCTGATTGAGTTATTAAATTGATATCTGTCATTTATCGCAGAAAAAGTTCATAGCATAAAGTTGAAAGTTGCGAATAAAGAGGTTTACGTTTAATAAATGTTTACCGATAGAACGGTCCATTGCTTTGGATCTAAGAAGTTAACTATTTTTGTTTCCGCTTAATGAGACACCTGGAAGCGGGCCGTGCTGGCTTAATGGTTTTCTCCCAAATGATTCCAATTTGTATTTGTAAATGTTTATAAATAACTCTGTAACTAGATATCGTTCGGAAACAATTCATTATTACATTATTATAGCATATGTGCTAACAAATGATATGTTTGGTTTGCCACTGAACATTAAAAGTCAACGCGCGTAGTGAAAACACTTTTACAGGTCGTGAGAATTATATATTTTCTTTTCAGGAAATTTTTTTTTCTCGGTTTGAGTTTTGATTTCTTTTCAGTTCTTTTCAAATTTAAAAAAGGAAGCTAATTGAAAGAAGGCTTGCTCAAAGGAAAGCGAATTAACCGAAAGTTCAAAGGGCGCGATTTCTAGATGTTTGATGCCACCAAAATTTCTAACATTTTCAAATTCAAACTTTTTGTCGAGTAGTATGTGTGTGAAAATAAAAAAACATTCAGGTTAATTAGCTTCGCTTTTCGTGCTTTGGTGAAAATCTTTGTAATATTCAATGAGCAACCGTGTATTTGAGTTTAAGGGAAGTATTGTAAGCTAATTGGTGTATTGTCTGTGTTAAGGACCCAGTCATGTTTTCTTGCTCTATCCGTGAGAATATTGAGTACGGCAGTGTGGACCCCGACTCAGTGTCGTTTGAGAGGGTTCGAGAGGCGGCGGAGGTTGCCAACTGTACCGAGTTTATCCTCTCCTTCCCCCACCAGTTCGACACTCTAGTGGGACAGAGAGGCGTCATGTTATCAGGTAATACGTAGTCTCGTTAGTAGGATTGATAATGGAGGAAGTAAAAGACAAAACAAGAACAGGGGCAACCGGGAGCTGCCAACTATGGCACTGCAAAAAAAGATTCATTCTTCAAAGCTTGTTTTTGTCCCAGATTCATTCTTGTTATTTCTTTTAAAGGTCCCTTTGATCGTTTTTACTTATGTTTACGAAGTAATAATATATAATAATTGCGGACCGATTTTAAATATCCGAGTTGCTTGAAAGTGAGATATCGCATTGGTACAAGCCTCTAGGATGTCAAATTTTTACTGTTCTAATGCAAGCATCTGATCTATCTCTTTCCAAATAATTATCTTGTTTTCCCAGCTTTATTTTGGTGGATCTACGATTTTCGCGAAGCGGTGCAGGCATTTTTTGTTAAAACAACCAACTGGGGGATCTCTGAAGGGGACGTCCGCTATCCCGTTACCGCTTCGTTAGTTTAAGGTAATCGTTGTTTGTTTCAGGTGGTCAGAGGCAGAGGCTTGCAATAGCGAGGGCAATACTTAGGGTAAATTTTGACTATTGTTATTAAGAGTCGATGAACGTAGTTCAGACTTTTATATAGGTCGCGATGATTTTTTTTCAGTCTTAAGATTTATTCAGGCTCAAATTTACTTTTTCGCGGTTTGAATTTCTTCTTAGGTTCAGTTCATTTTCTTTGTTAAAAGGAAGGCAAACGCGACTATCGAACAGCGAAAGTTAAAATGTCACGAAAAAGTGATCTACTTCTAATTACGAAAATGGGTTTTAATTATGGAGTTTTCCAGCGAAATGCAAATTTTACCTATTGATCCATTTTTCTCAAATTGGGTTATTTTTATCGAGAAAAAGCCCACCATGAAATGTTCTAGAAATTCAAAGAGCTTTAAGGGCATCTTTTTTTTCGTTGAATTTCGAAATTTGAGATTTTTTCAAAAAACACGTCAGTTTTTTTCTGTTTAATTGCGTTCATTGACTCTTTTCCAACTGTCTGTTGGCTATGTATTTATTGTTACCTAAATCGGGAAATAATACCTTCTCGTGTTATTTCAGAATCCCGCTATTCTCATTTTGGACGAAGCTACTAGGTGAGATTCCAAGGCGACTGCAGTTCATTAGTACCTATAAAAGTTTTAATGAGTTTCTGCCAAAGAAAAAACTGTACCTAATTAGGTACAAATCAGTGAAACGTCGGGTATAGAATACCGTGTATTTTTAACAAAAGAATTTTTCTAAACTCTGTGATTCTTGTGATTAGTCGAAGACATGATTTTATTCTTGTATTCTCCTGTATGCACACTAGCGATCAGCGTAGTGTATTATTACGTACTTTCTGTTTCTTCTAATTTAACTCGCAAATAAATGTTTTCATTAAAGTGTTCACTTAATCGCAAATTTCACTGCAGCATTGGAAATTGCATATCGTCTGTTTGCGTTATTTGTGGCTAGTGTTTGGAACCTTTTACGCATCCTAGGCTGAGTGGTTATAGTGTGAGACTCATGCTCTCTAGGTCGCAGGTTCGAATCTTAGACGTAACGGAATTTTTTTCTATTTAAAGGCTTATTTTTTTCTTATTGCACTTTATAGAGCTGTTTTTGTGTTATCTTCTCGCTAGTGTTTGCAAAGTGAAGCGTCGCCTCTGTCTTTAATTTTTGGTCGTGTGTTTGTATAATCTTATAATTTTACCTTCAATCCTCGGTTACCGGTAAACGAACGAGTTTTCACGACTGCAGTGGTTCGAATACTGCTAATTTGATTGAAGGAAGTCAATTTGTACTTATTTAGATCATGTTTTTTAATCTTAAACAATGTTCATTTTTTATACACGGTTTTTGGTTGTTTTTGCTCAATTTTCTAATAAGTTTTTCAAATGGACAAAGCAATAGCGCCGAGTTCAAGTTGAATATTAGAAAAAAAAATACAGCGCTTGCTTCTCTGATCTTACTATTTTTTACTCAACTTAAAGTGATTATCATGTCATGTTATCAAAAGTATACGGTGGCTGTGCAAGTATATCAGAATGTTCCTATCACAAAAGTCGATGAAAGTTTATTTGTTTTGTTTTCCAGGGTAACGAGAAAGTTTCCTCGATATCTATTAAAAACAACAAAGGTAATTTTTTTCTAAAATATTTGTTTGACAACAACTGCCGTGGTCGGAACATTCTGGCCGGTTAACGTTTTTCCTGCTATATGTTTATGGTTTATTGTTAATCATATGGTGCATCATTGTTTATATATCCATTGCTTCGGTTTTTTTAGTGCCCTGGACAGCGAGAGCGAGCAACTTGTTCAGGACGCTCTGAAAAAAATCCTCCCAGGGCGAACAGTGATACAGATAGCGCACAGATTAGCCACCATACGCAATGCCCACTCTATTGCTGTCATCGCCAATGGTCAAGTAATAGAACAGGGTTCTTATGACCACTTGATGGCCATACCTCATGGCCACTTGAGTGAACTAGTCAATTTACAACTGTTGCCTGACATGAGTTCAAATGTTACCTAGAAACATAAATACGTGAGCACATTATTGTACAGATTCTCTTGACTGTTGTTGATGTTTATGCTTGCTCTTTGAAATTTCATATATGAAAGCTGTTATCGTTTACGTAATTCTAAGTTGTATTATAAGGTTGTATTATAATGTGAGAAATTACTGTTGGTCATAAATAATTTAGACTACCTTCGTTTTGAATTACTGAACAAAATGATTTTCAGTTATTTGATTCGTGCAGGTTTTTTTGTGAGTTGTTTTATGCTCCTTGATCCATTTTTGTCGGTTTGACTTCTGGTTTCTCTTAGTTTCACTATGGGTCCGTTTAACCAATTGGAGGTAAATCACTTTTTCTAAGAGCGAACATTGAAATGAAGTGATTTTTTAGACCCGAAACATCGGATATGAGTCTCTTATCTTGGTGCCCTAAAATTTAATACCAGCCGATCTACCACCGTACATTTTACTGCCTCGTCTTTTCACTACTCCAAAAATATAAGTTAAAACTCTCTTATCTTAGCTCCTATCACACCAAAGTTACTGCTTCAATTAACGCACGCATCCTTTTGAAAAACTTGGCTCATCTCATTCATACATGCTAAAATGATTCTTAATTTACTTAAGACTCTTATCGAAAAGTTCGTAGTTTAATAGGAGTCGATGACTATAGCAATGAATATCAACCATTTGAAAGTTTTCAGCGAGAGGTTCAAACCGACTTTCGCAGTTGCCAGTGCCGATTTGCTAGTAACAAATGATTTGGCCACTCAATTTGCCCTCCCAAATAAATACAAATTGGTTCGAACAGCTGCGCGCATACGCAAGCAGCTAGATGTAAGTATGTCACCAATCCAAGATGTTAATAATAAATTGTTCTGGAATTTCAAAGAGCTTTAAGGGCATTTTTTTTTTGAATTTCAAAAGATGAGATTTTTTCAACAAATTAAGTCAGTATTTTGTTTGTTTACTTGCGTTTTGTAATTCTTTTCCAACTGTTTTTTGGCTGTTTTTCGCAACTAAATTTTTCACTAACCCAATAAGATTACTTAAAAACTTGCTTGTGCTAATTCGTATCAATTTCTGGTAGTATCTCCGAAAAATAAAAAACTTCTGAATAGCATTTTATGCAGCACTCAAGTCAAAAACAAACGCAATCACCAAAATCAAACTTTGATCAAATCTTCTCTCGAATTCGCAGTTTCCCCTAAAAACAAACCAATTCGTAAAGCATCGGGCTACGAGTTTAATTTAAAGGGAAAAAATACAACTGCCTTTCCAGAAAACAACGAAATATTCGAGATGCATGGAGAGCATAGTCATAAAATTGAAACGGGAAAATTGGATGTCCGAAGCGTCAGAAAGCATTAAAAACAACCCAATGCGGTTTTGTCAGTAACAGAAGATCTTTTAGTTTGCCCCTGCAACCAAAGACAAACTGATTCGAACGGCTGCGTGAATACTTAAGCATCTGGATCATTATATACCATCCATTCCGGCTGCGCAAAATTGCGAGGCTCTTCAAGTTCATAGCTTTTTAATCCGGCATGACAATGCATCAAATGATCACGAGCGAATCATTTTGTGTGGTGAGCCAGTTTTACTTAGTTTTGGAAAAATCATCTTCAGAGTCAGCCGAAGGAACCCTTAAATTTAGTACCAAAATATTCTAGCTATGAATTAAGTTTATTAGTTTATCTGGTATTGCCACAGCTTGCATATACGCCTTCCCTCTCAGCCCCAAAAAAACCTACTATCGTATTTTGCAGGCTTTAATTGATTTAGCTCCAAACTGCCGGGCTCAAAAAATTGCTAGATTTCGAACAATCTGCTCCTCATTCTTTCCAAAAACAATTGCCCGAAGGGCATTTATCGGGTTGTTTTTTCAATTTTTTCACAATTGTTTTTTCAATCTTTTTCCCTATATGTAAAAAAAAAATTAGTCCTGGCTCGAAAAAAATTAGTCCTGGAAAAAATTAGTCCTGGCTCGAAAAAAATTAGTCCTGGAAGTTCAGAATGTATGCAACAGAAAATGTTCAGAACCTAGAAAATGTAAAAATTAATTGACGAAATGTGTCTGTACTTCGGCTTTACTTATATAAGAAGCTTGGCGCCAAATCGTGAATTCTTAATCCTACCCACCCCGTCGAACCAGCAGGGTGCAGCTTGAGTTTTCAGCGGAGCCCAATCTAATAAGTGGAAAGTAATGGCAGCCTTCAAAAAGACGTATCCGTACAACAAAATTTGATAGTTCGAAAGGCCGTAAGTTCTCAAAGAAGAAAATGTACTGATTTTTAAATGAAAAAATCCAAAACATTATATCCGATTGCGAAGACGAAAAAGGTCGTTGTTTCAGAGCATTATCTAGTTCGTGTTAAACCAGTGTAACTTTTCTTTTGTTTTTGTTTGATTCATTCGTATTTGAAAACTTTAGTCCTGCTTAAATGTTTGTCAGCTTTCTGAGAAAAGACGTTTCCTTGCAGACTACCGGAGAACGTACTAAACGCAAGACCTTAATTCGTGTACTAGCCACTTAGTTCTAGGACAATTGCCTACCTTTTCGGGATGCTAGGTTGGGAATAGGGCTGGCGAGCTCTTTAGATTTGCGTTTATTTGTCAACAATTCAAAAAAACTGAAGTGATTTGGATATAGTTTTGAATTCGATAATGATTCTAAAACTGAGTCACTTTTAGCCTTTTGGCATTAGTTTAAACTTGTTTAAAATTTTTCTACATGCTAAAAACATCTCGAAAAGTACGCCATTTCCAGTCAAAGGACCTTTAATTAATTGCCCCCTTTGAATTTCCTTTAAAAATTCTTGTTTTAGGTTCAATTTTTTATTTATACGAATTATTAGCAAGATCAATACTGCTCAAAGTTTACGCGATTAATTAGCGCGAAATTGTCTGGCTGTAAATGGCAGAAATTTTTCTCGCTTTATTCATTGATGTTTAGCGAAGTCGTTTGTGAAGTAAGTTTTTTTTTGTTTTGGATTAAAACGGTGTCAAGTTATAGATGTAGTTTTAAAATGCTGTGATTTTAAATTGCTCAGGCTGCAAATCGTAGGTAGTGAAATTTAATGGTGTTAAGTTGTTTAAAGTTAAATAGGTGGGAAACCTTTTATACGGTCCAAATATGATATCTTCAATTTCTTAGAAATTGCATAAGACTCGAATCTGATTGGTTGTAATTAGTTTTAAGCGAAAGAAGCTCATGACAATTTTGAAGCTCAATTATCAATTCGATAATTTGGGCCATAATTTAACAATTTTTAAGTGTAAAAACGAATTTTTTTGTCTCTTATAATGTTCGTGATCATTTTTTTAAAACTTTAATATCCTAAGTTCGTTCGAGTTTAATTTTAATGTTCAGCGGTTTGACTTCGTTTTCATTTTAAGTTTAGTTTCTTCTTTAAAACCAACGCAAACGGCTATCGAAAAGCAACAGTGGAAAAACGTGAACAATCTCGAAAAACGTGAATCACTTCTAGTTCCCCTGATTTGCCAGCTCCCTGATTTTCCAGCGGGTTGCCCACTATTGATCCATATTCTCAAAAAAAAGTTTCAACGGTTAACAAATCTTAAGTTTAAGAAAGCTTAAACATGAGATTTTTTTCGGTCGAAAATGATCAATTTTTTTTGCAATTCAGTTTTAGGTTTGTTTACTTTCTCCAACTTGACTATGTTTTTTGTGCATTTATAGATAGATAGATAGTTAGATAGATAGATAGATAGATAGATAGGTAGATAGATATGTAGATATAGAAATAGTTGATATAGGTATAGATAAAGTTTAAGATATGTTTTTTTGGCTTAATGACCAATTTTACGTGAAGCTCAATTTTTACGATCTCACTCCGGAAACAAACAGATGAAAAAAATCTTAGATTCTCAGAATTTTGTGGCTTGAAACTTTTGCATGACAATGATTTATTTTTGTTTCAATTGCAGTTTACCTAAGTGTTGTCGTCTTAGTAGCCGTGCGATAAATGTACTGAATGTTGATTTGAGGACAAAATATATTACAGGTTGTGTTTTCCTCAAATTGACATCGTTCGAGACAAAATTGTGCATTTTTTGCTTTTTTTTTGTTTTTGCGAGCTATTATTGGCTTAGGTTTCATTTTTTTCTGCTAGCTTGCAAAACTATGTTTGAGACGTGTCGGAAATGGTGCGAAGTTCGGCTTCAACTCTGTGATAGAATGTGTGTTTTTATGAAAATGGGTAGCTGTTCGCTCTCGGTTTTCCTAACTGTTTTCAGCTTTTCCTTTGTTTGAAATTATCAAAAATCGGAGAACAGGGTTCAGAAACTTATAGAGTTTTTGCTATTTTTTGGTAGGAAAATTTCTGAAAATATGTTCATAAATTTTTTGGATTAGTGTATTTTTTTAATGCATTAAATTTAGTTTTGCATTTTATTTGAGCTGCATTCAAGTTCATTTGCTAAAAGGAAAGCAATTTGCGCTATGTACTCAAGGAAGGGAAATATTGTAAAAATTGTGAACGACTTCTATATTTCAGTAATGAATTTGATCCCTATTTTTTACAGAGAAATAAAATTGTTGTCATCTAATTGGACTAAGTTTAACGACAAAATGTCAATCACAAGATTCTTGAAAGTTAACGAGTCTCAACGTGATTTAATTTTTGGTTTCGGAAATTGATAAAATGTTTCCAAAAAATGGTCAGTAATTTTTCTGTGCCCATTTCACGACATTTTCCAATTGTCTGTTTGCTGTTTCAAACTGGTCTCTAAAATTTTAAAATTTAGTCCTTTGTAGCCTTGGTCAGAAATTGTGCAAGACAACTAGAGAAGAGGAAAAGCGCCAGTCCTACTTTCAATTTGTAAGTCATAGAATCTAATTAGTTTGAGCCGAAAGTTCCTAAAATCTAAAGATTTCCCTAAAATCAATTCAAAGACAACCAAGCGGCCAAGGAATCGAACTTGGTTGTCTTTTAGTTGAAATTTGATTTTAGAAAAAGCCTTGACTGTGCACAGCAACTAGGTATTGATTTTTTTTTTTCGTTATCTGATTAGTTAGCACAAAGTTTGAATTCATTGTCCGAAAAATAGAAATCTTGTTTTTTCAGTTTTTGGGATTCGATTT